AGATGAGGTCTCGCTGCCCAGGCGGGTCTCAAACCTGCGGGCTCAGACAATCCACTCACCTCAGCCTCCCAAAGGCGCAGGATTACAGGCTGAGCCACAGAGACCGGCTAAAATGGGTAATTCTTAACATGACTAAGGGCGTTCTCCTTTCCTGTGGGAGGCTGAATCCTACTCCGGCCACCCCAGTTCACCTGGCCAGGAGGCGCCGGGCAAGAACCCAGACATTGTCCTTGGTGCCAACTCTACTAGCGTGGTCACAGAACACACACGTGTGCAGAGGGAGGCACTTGGCCTCGGAAGAGCAAAGCCAGGCCCTGACTTTGCTCATCTCGACGGGTCACACGATGATCCCCTGTGAGCAGGACGGCAGCAGCCAGCACGGCCAGCCCTGCCACATGGGTCTTCAGAGAGCAGGGCCTGTTGTGGCAGGCCCTCTGTCCCTAGCTGCCACCAGCCAGCCAGTCGAGGCAGAGGCGACATCTCTGGCATCCTGGGCTTCGGGTCTGGCGACACTTGGCTACAAGACACCCTTTCCAGGCCCAGCACAGTGGTTCACGCCTATAATCCCAGCATTTTGGGAGGCCGAGGTAAAATGATTGCCTGAGCCCCCGGGATTTGAGACCAGCCTGGGCCACTTGGCAAGACCTCATCTCTACAATAAACCACAAAATTAGCCGGGCGTGGTGGCATGCGTCTGTAGTTCCAGCAACTTAGAAGGTTGAGGTGGAAGGACTGCCTGAGCCAAGCAGGTCGAGGCTGCGGTGGCCGTGAGTGTGACGCTGCACTCCAGCCTTGGCGACACTCAGAAAAAATAAAAATAATAAGGCCAGGAGTGGTGGCTGAAGCCTGTAATCCCAGCCAGCACTTTGGGAGGCCAAGGCAAAGGACTGCCTGAGCCTGGGGGCTAGAGACCAGCCTGGGCAACTTGGTGAGACCTCGTCTCTACAATAAACCAAAAAGTAAGCCGGATGTGGTGGTGCACACCTGTAGTTCCAGCTACTCGGAAGGTTGAGATGGAAGAACCGCCTGAGCCCAGCAGGTGGAGGCTGCGGTGGCCGTGAGCGTGCCTCTGCACTCCAGCCTGGCTGACACAGAGAGACCCGACTCAAAAAAAAAAAAAAAGGAAGAAACCCTTTCTCTGAAGGCCATTGTGGTCCAGGGGCCACACCGGCGGGGCCGGCCGTGACCCCCGCAGAGTCCCCGGGCCCGGACGCGCGACGGCCCATCTCAGAGCCTCCTTAGAAGCAGGCGAGGCCACTCGGACGGAAGAGAAAATGAGGTGCGGGGCGCCGAGGTCACCGGTCAAGGTCTCCCGGAACGCAAGGCCCCGGCCTCGGCTCC